TCCCCGCGGATCCCCGCGGTTCCCCGCGGATCCCCGCGGTTCCCCGCAGATCCCCGCGGTTCCCCGCGGTTCCCCGCGGATCCCTGCGCTTCTCCGCGGACAGCCAGCCTATTTTGTAATCAATAGGCTTTTAAGCAGTGGTCAACTGTAACATTGGCCATTGGTGTCCGCGCAAATCCGCGGGGATCCGCGGGGATCCGCGGGGAACCGCTGGGATCCGCGGGGATCCGCGGGGAACCGCGGGGAACCGCGCAGAACCGCGGGGAACGATGTCTTGTCTGCGCACCGCCTCGCACCACTCCGCGCACCACTCTGCGCACCGCAAAACTTAGGACAAACCCCGGGCGTTTTGTTTGCGCACCGCCTCACGCACCACCCCGCGCACCACCCCGCGCACCACCTCCACACACCCCCAGGGCTCCAAAAGCGCAAAACTAGTTAAGCGCACCAAGCTTGCGTCAACATAGGCCTTATTCAACCATAAACATCCAATCTCGCACATAAGAAACAAACACGCAAGAAAGACCTCCATCCACCACTCACTAGCAAGCACAGTGTTCCACTGAAGCCCTCCAAAAGTCTGGGAGGACCAGTCTGAGTGCACGGTTAATGCTTAAAGGAAAGGCTTATACAACGCTTTACAGCTTGAAGTGCCAAAAAGATTTATATGCCTTGCTCTATGCCCTGTCATTTCCAGATGCCAGCATCTTAGGTTGAACTGATCTTCGCTTGAGCGCACCTCCAAAACAAAGAAGTTGAGGGACTGCCTGATTTCTTCCAGAGGTGGGTCAGAACCCGACCCGTTTGACTATCCCAGTTGGGTCCAGTATGGTCCCTTTTCAGGTTCTTAAACCTCTCTGGGTTCCATCGATGAGCTGAGGCGACCGCCTCCAGTCATCGCCTCTGTGGTGCGACCGTCGTTCCACAGACCGCGCAGACGCGCACGGCCGGGGCGGTGGGCGGACGGGGGGCGGTGTGACGACCGAGGACGCAGGGCGACACGGTCGATGTGAAGGAGCATGGTAGACGATGGTCCGTCCAGGGAGCTCGATGTATTGCGAATAGGCGGAGCGTGAGCAAGTGTTGCACCTGAATTTGTTCATCACCTAGAGCTTGGTACCTAGCTCATTCTGGACTGGAATCAGGAAACCCCACACTGATCAATTTACTGTTATTTATTTTGGTCTACCCTTGGTGGATATTTGCGGGTGCCTCAGCGCCTGGGTGGCAAGCAGGTGATTGCAAAGGAATCTGGCTGGTTGCCTCGTCGCTTCGTTGGCACAGCCAGTGTTGCTGAAATGATGTTGAGCGAAGATAGTGTATTATACCACTGGCTCAGACCAAACTTGTGTTTATCGATACCAGCCGCAAACATGGGTTTTACTGCAGAATGATGACATCCTGAACGCACAGCTGGCCGTCTATGTTGCTTCTATTGGGGAAGTTTGCGCGTCCTAATTTTACTCACACTTGAAATGATCCTTTTTTGGGTCTGACCATACCGTCAAGACCACAGATTTCCAGGTGCGACATGCCGCCACCAGCAAGAGCCTGCCATTCCTGCCCGGTGCCAAGATGACGAGTGGGGGTCGGATCGCAAAAAGGCATGTGCGTTTCCTGGTGGCAGCTGCTCTCCACATCAGATATTGTGTATTCTTTTTGGGCTCATGGAAGATGTGTATACAAGCCAAATTGTGGGCAACACTTTTGTCGGAAACCAAGCACGGTCCGAAAACAATCAAGAATCTAAACTTTGATGTCAATTTTAGTCCCCTTTCTGCGCCGTATTTGGCAATTGTTCGGTGACCGTAATTGTTTGGTACAGCGGCAGCATGCCAACATCGCTCACCGGACCACCCGATTGAGGAACATGCCATCCTGCTCCGCTCATGCTCACGTTCATCGTCCTAGACCGGGGGTCGGCGGATTAGAAAGTGGCGCTGGTGAAGTAAAGAAAGTTCCGCAACCCGGGACCTTGGATTTCTTTTCATGGTCTTGGACTCCCAGGGTTACTTGTCAGTTGGTATGAGTTCCTTTCCCCCCTTGCTGATTTCCTTCAAGTACTTGAGTTCTTGACGTCGTGCGTGCACCTGGGTCACGCAGTTCCTGCCAGTCCCCCATGTTAGTTAGATGTGTCAGGGCTGATGGGCCCTTCACAGCAAATGGATCCAGCTGGGAAT